TATCACTAGTTTCTTAAAAGTGCATATAGTGAGTGAAGTTAAGTTATGAATGAATCTAGAAGTATCTACAGTGAACTGTGTTTATAAATAATGATATGTGATAGTTGTGTTATGTATTTTTAAATATATGATCAATCGTAATAGATGAAAGAAAATAAATATATTTCTCTAAAGTGTATGGAATGAGTGAAGTGGAGTTTTGAATACGTCTAGTGACATCGACAGTGAACTGTATTTATAAATATTATGGATATATTGTAATTTTGTTATGTGTTTATATATATATATATATATATATATATATATATATAATATATATATATATATATATATATATATATATATATATATATATATATATATATATATATATATATGGTAAAACATAATAGATGAATACAAATAAATGTTTTTCTGTGAAGAGGTGTTTTGAGTTTACCCTATTCTTTCTTTATAATCAAACAGTGATGATACTCATTTCTGTATGTATTATTAACAACATATTTATATCTTCTGAATGTATATCTAATTCAAAGTAAAACTGTTTGCTAATTTTTTTTTTCAAATGTTGAAGATAAGTTTCAACAATTTTCTATCTATCGAATTATTCATGTTCATAAGGAATAATTCATTCTCAGTTTTCTCAATGTTGTTCTTTTAAATTTTGACACTTGCCTTCATTTAGAATCTTTTGATAGTGGAAATCTTAACATTTTAACAATATTTTCTGAAAATTATCTTATACTTATTGTCAATACTTTAGAACAATTTATTATAGTCGATTGACTGTGGTTTATATCATGGAACAAATTATCAGCATTCAATCATTATTTTATTGCGAAATACAACTCTCAATGCAAACTCTTGGTTCTTCAAGGATTTAATTAAATCAGATATACAAGAAAGAAACACAACTAGTAAATTTCTACGATTGGATATAATGACGTGAAAACACCTGTTGAGAAACTATCCAGTGGTAGCACTTCTATTATTTTTCTTTTTGAAACAAAGAAATGGAAAGTAGAAAAACCAACTTATTGAAGTCCAAATTTAATTTTTATTGTAGGAAATGTGGGTTGTAATAAATAAAACTTTTACACAAGTTTATTTGTTATATATTTTACATAATTAAGAACATTTAAGAGAAATAAAAATAGCCATTTATATTACACTACATTTTTCTCATTTATAATATATATTTATTAAGTAAAGAACACAATTACATAAGTTAAATTCACATACATAAAAACAAAATAATGAATTATAGATATGGAATGTATTGCACTGTTAAGTCAATGTTTAGTTTATTATTGGTTTATTCTACAAGAGCAAATCTGATGAATTAATTTATATTTCTTTAAGATATAACAAAATTCATGTTTCTTCTTAATTGCATATTGATCTTCTGTTTGTTAAACAAAAAAAAATATATTTGCTTGTCGGTTACAATATTCCTGCTTATTGATGAAGATTTCCTTAATCATTCAACATACACAATCTATCAGAGAGATCTTGAACATGAAGAAAGTTGGTTAGTGAGAGTTGAAACTAAAATATAAGTTCTTCTTTGGTTTCATGAAAAGAATTTTATTTTCACACTTTTATACAGTACTGCTAAATAAGGTAAATTTCATTAAAACCATTAACATAATTAGAAAAGGTGTCGCGATGAGGTGACATGAAGAACTATAGCAACCAAGACCTTGGTGCATGATTGCACATTTTGTCATGTATGGATATTTGCAGCTAGCATCTGAAATTTAAAAATACTACACAGAATGAATATGAATATGAATGTTGTACATTAGTTAATTATTATTATTTTTATTTCTTAATGATATTTACAACTTTATTAAAGAAACACAACTAGTAAATTTCTACGATTGGATATAATGACGTGAAAACACCTGTTGAGAAACTACCCAGTGGTAGCACTCTGATAATATGTCTACATTAAGAGGTCACAGGACCATCTTCTTTTCAGAAGCCCTGGAGGGTTATCAGAAATTGAAGAGAAAGTAAGGTTAGAAACGAAAAGGTTGGGATGGTTCTGAAGTTTATTATGGAAGGATAGGTATCTGGATTGGGAAAAATCTGAAACATAAGAAACATTAAGGTCATTGTGAAAGATTTTATTTGTAACAAAGTAGGATTGGATAAGAGAGGAATTTGATGGTTTAGTGGAGCCCCATAGCTAAACTCCATTGATTTTTAATTATATAAAAAACAAAAGAGGACTATTTAAGTAGATTAAGAAAGATAGGCTTTTAGCTAGGTTTATTCTACAAAAACTAGTTATATGTGAAGAAACAAATGAATATAAACAATTTCTTAATAAATTAATTGTAAATAAAAAAACATTCGACTTTGATAAGTAATGCTTGGATAGTGCTGCCTTCTTGTGGCACCAATCACAACTATCATTTCAATTTGTCAGCTATTTTTAGGCTATTTGTTATAGTATTTTAACAATTCTTGATTTTTTTCATATACACTGGTTTACCTATTAATTTCCGATCATATAGATTTTGCGTATTATTAATAATTTATTCATTAGTATGAGTGATGAATTATGGATTCTATTTAACCTTTTTTTAAACTTAATAAACTGTGTATATAAATTGAAAGACAACACTTTCTATGAATGTAACATTTTTCTGATGGAGCTATCAGAAAGTTGCATACAATTTTTCTGCTCAAAAGCTGGTTATTCATAGAATACTTTTATGTAAACATTGAAAGAAAAGTAAACTCCAATGTCTTTGTGAAAGAAAGAAATTTAGTGAAAATATGACATAGCACAAGAAAAAAAAACTTACGAGTTATGGAAAATAAAAGGATAATGTGTCACATACACAAAGAAATATGTTAAAACCAGGGCTTGAAACAGAAAAAAAAAAATCTGCATCACTGTGGATTGTCAATAGTTTTCCAGTTCTTTTGCTACTAGAACTTTTTTCCTGACAACTTTTCTAGTATAGATTTTACAGAACTTTTATTTTTAAACAAATTTTATTTAAAAGTTCAATTGATTTTGCTGAAAAATCGATCTAAAAAATGAATTTTATTCATAGCTACTCAAAGAAACAACAAATTAGAATCATGCGTAATTAATTTAAGATAAATCTCTAATCTAAGCTCAATTACTGTTTATTTTTCATATAAGGGAACTTTTTTTAAGAACTTGAACAAATAAAAGTTAAACTTTTACCATAAACCTGGGACTTTATAACAAAAAAGTTGCTCAGAACTTTTATTTCATGAACTTTTTTCCTAAAAAGTTCCACGGAAACCGTTAAAATGAAACATTTTCAAATAGTTTCAACCCCTGATTGAAACTAATGAAAGCTATTTTGAATAAAAATTATATCATTAGTGTTTTTATTTCACTTACCTCGTGTCATAAGAGACAACATATCACATCACCAATCTCAATTTTCGCGGTTTTGAAACATAATTTAGTAATTTTATTTTATTTTCTCATCTGGGCGAGTTGCAATTTATTTTGTGGCTATCCCACAGAATGAATCTCGACCTTCTCACTTTGTTTAGAATAGCTTTAGTTGTACCTAGAACTCTAGAACAGTTCCCCTTCTATTCCCTTCACTCTATATAACGTATGATAATACATTTTATGTCAATTATTTTTTTAATGTTGAAAATTCTGACTTATTTAATGTTTCATATATTTTCTAAAGAAAAGACATTTCTTATATAATTAATTTCAACTTCAATTTATAACTGAGTTGTTATTTAATTTTTTTATATGTATATATAAATATATATATATATTTATTTTCTTCTGTTGGAATTGCAGACAATGTAGATCTTTGGCACCTTAACAAGCCTGCTCGATCTCTACCAGTCTTGGGCTATTTCTTTCCATTTATCTGCACGTAGCTCTGTTGATTCTATCTATCCATCTGCTTTTTGGCCTTCCAACGCTTTTTCGTCTTCTGCCTTCTATTGAGGCATTTATTGTTACGTAGAGGCTTCCAGTTGGTTTGTTCCAACTTACATGCCCCGCTCATCTTAACCTCCGTTCCTTCATATCGATGGATTCCAATTCCGATCCTTGGATATTGATTGACCAGTTTCTGTAAGCAGTTCTGTATTGGTCTTTCTTCTCCATGTGTTAGTACTCTGATCCTAGTTCGCTCCGGTTATCGTGTGGAAGATTTTCCTCTCAAATCTTTGCACACTTTTTTCTAGGGTGCTGGTTAGTGTCCAGGTCTCACAGCCATTTATTAGAAATGGCTTTATCATAGCACTGTAGACCCTCAGTATAAAATTTCTTGAGATTTTTCAGGATTTCAATATCTTTGAGAGGGACAAAAAGCTCTGTTTGCACTAGTTATACGCTGGTCTATTCCTGCCAGTTGGTCATTCATTGAGGTTATTGTGGAGAAGAGGTATTTGAATTTTTCTACTCACGGGGATGATTTTCCTTCAACGCAGATCCTGTTATTGGGGTGGAATATTAGGCTTATTATAATATATTTTGTTTTGTCTTCATTTACTTATAGGCCAATCTGCTCTGCATCTTGTTGTATCGAGTTTCTCAATGTCTTCTTGATTACTTCAGCTATATCATCTGCGCATCCAAGGATTTTATGATTCATTCCGATGTGGACCTCTCCATTATCCTGTGGTGTTGTTCTTATTACCTCCTCCAGGACTAACTTGAACAACATCGGCGATAGTCCATCTCTCTGCCGTTAAATCCGTTCGTTTAGACAGTCCAATTTCCAGAGGTCTAGTTAAGGCTTTGTAATAAGTTGTTTTTTCCAGGATAGGATTATTAGCCCTATGCCCAAACCCCAACCTGGAGGACCAGGAGCTATGGTGTAAGACACAGGGGTCACTCACCTCCCTGCGAATCCGTGGATATATATATATATATATATATATATATATATATATATATATATATATATACATCAATTAATAAATAGTTTATTTTTCATTATTGTAATCTTTACCTAAAAGTAAAAAAAAAAATGTGAAAATAAAATAGTTAAAAAAAAAAAGACTAGTTCTTTATTATGTAATTAGTAATTATTTAACAAGTTATTAAATAATAACTATACATTTAAAATTTTGTTACGTTTTTTATCTTTTTCCTTATCCACACAAAAACTCTTTATTATATTTTGGAAAGTGATTATGTAATAACTTTACTGTATGGACTTTTTATTAGTAAATTCACTAAAACATATTGGTACACATTTTCCAGTGCATACAATTCGACCTGGGGTTATTTATAATAAAGATGGTAAAAATAAAACTTCATTTCAATAAAGTCATATATTACATAAGTACAATGTGCTCTCGACAGAGAGAACAAATTATTATATTTTTCTCTACAATAGCTATAATATTTACAAACGCTCATATCGCACACATTTACATCATACAATTATATATATTACTTGTAAGTTTAATTTCTATTATACATGGAGCTAAAATTAAACAATATTTCCTTCACGTAATGCATCATTTTAACTTTAACTAACATTCAATATGCTTGAAGCATTTTGAGAAAAAAAATTCTCTCTTTTTTAAAACAAGTGCATGTAAAGCTCACAAAAGTAAATTTATGAAAAAAAAAATAGGACAAAAAAAAATCTAAGTAAAATGACTACACAATTACCGGCACAACCGATGCTATGGAAATGTTAGTGCCACTGAAAAACAAAATCATAATTGAAACGAAAAAATCGTTAATTTTTTCCTGGTCCCATTTTGAAAAGGCAGTGAACGCTCATAATTTCAATAATTAAGTCTCCATGTGTAAATTTTAAAAATTAAAAAAAATAATATATTCATATTCTTACATAATTAAATATGTATATGCTTTTCTATTTACATAAAGTAATTGTACAATAATTTAAATAAATAATAAAACTCAATTAGTTCAGTAATTTAGAAAACAAAAAGAAGTACATTCGATAAAAATATAAACAAATCATTTACATGTTTATAATATAAATTAATTTTCCTTTTTAGTTGCTATATTTACCACATGGAACGTAATTTATTTCATTAAAAGCATCCACTGGAAACCTACTAAAGCATTAACAATACCATCGAACCCAAATTGAGCTCTTTTATTTTAATAATTTAATATAAATTTATAATTTAATTCAAACTAGTTCATCAATAGTGTAATCAAAATTAAATTAACAATAACAATTTAACTATTATTACTTTTTTCTTTTATTTATTTATATTTTTAATTATTTGGAATGTTAAATATAACCAAAACAAAATTGGCGTCTTTTTTACTAAAAAAAAAAAAATTATCTGCGAACATAAAAGATAACGAGAGGTCTATTCTTAATGGTGTAATTAGAGTCACAAAAATGTATAAAACGCATAAATGTAAAATGCACTTTCATTTTTATGTAAGTACTAGCATATAACTAACTTTGACTACGAACATGAACACATCAATGTATTGCTAACTTTAAATAGAAAATAATATTTATTGCACATACAATATTTGGGCAGACACGATTTAGACATTATTTACATTAAATAATAAAATTAATTTGAGTATTGATATTTATTTAAATTTAATTAGAAATATTTGTTGAATTGTAGATAACTGATTTGTAATAAAAATTAAGACTTGGGTTGTACAGTGTTTCTTACCACCATTCACCAATTTTTTTTATTCACTCGAGAAAAAGAACATAATAAAAAATAATGAGATTACGGAAGGTGAGTGCCACTGCCACATTGATTATAAGGCATAATAAATATAAAAATAATTTCCTTTATATAATAACTTAATTAAATTCTTGATTTGTTTAATATTATTTCTGTTATTTATAGTAAGACATATTGAATACATTGATTAAAATCAGAATAATCATAAAAGGTTACCACTTTTTATCTTCGTGTTTACTATTATTTATACACAATGATGTACAATACATTATTTAATCAGTTTATTCTAAAACGAATTTCAATATTCAGAGTTATTTTACAGCGATAAATTCATTCATTATTTATTCAAACAAATTTATTTTGACCAATTCATAATTACTAATATTATTACCAACTTCAAACGCTCATAATATACACCGATATAGACCTCTTCAATAACATAATTATCGTCAGTTGTTTGAATAAGTACAAGACACACTAAAATGTGTTAAAATGTTATATACAATATATTAACCTGTATCAAGGGTTAATAATACATTAACTGGCAAAATATAATAATAATCGAGAGATCTCAAAATATGATAATAGGTGTTATCACAAGAAAATAAAAATATAAAGAAATGGATATGATCAACAGGTAAGAGATATTGCCATGTATTACATGTATTGGATGCTAAATAAACATTAGTAAATTAATAGAAGCTACATACTCAGTTGATACATAGTTAACTAAATCACCACTCATCGTGACCATATTCTGAGCGGCGGGGATAGCGTCCGAGTGTCCACGTCACCGCACTACCTATCACAAACTAGGCAAGATAAAGCCATTCGTTTCATCTATAATCAACAAATTCACTTTTGAGCATCACTTTCTTCATCAGTTGCCCCATCATCCCGTCGTTGATAGAGAAATACATTTGTTTCATATAAAAAAAAAATTCAACAATAAAAACAATATTGAACATAACCATAATTAATAAATATAAAGACAATAGTTCGTTGTTAAATACATGATACTGGCAGTTCATAACACATTTTTTAGAATCATAATTAAGCCTAAAGGATTATACATATATCTAAAATCTTTATTTTAATCTGATTCTTTACAAAATGTATCAACATGTAAAAATGCCAAGTTCACTAAATCTACTTATTGAGGTGTATATGAGCACAATAGCTTGTTGAGAACTGCTACCGATCCTCATCATATTGTCACCTTACATTATTAAATTTAAATACAGGCAGCCGCACAAAAGCAAAAAATTCTTAACAACGGTTTTCACTGTCTAAAAAGTATTACCCAATGAGCCATATACATCCTATGAATATTCGATAACAAGATACGCGCAACAGATTAAAATAAAAATCTATACAAAGGGAGGCAGGCGATTGCTTTTTAAATTTTGGATAATCTGATGTTGGCTATTTAAGTTTTAGTAAATCTATTACAAAAAAGAAATGATTAACTACAATACTAAAAACAAATAGGATGTTTTTAAATGACTTCTTATGAATCAATTCAATGCCTGGAATTATCGAAACTATTAACAAATAAGTAAGGAAAATAAATCTTCTTTAAAATGATAACTGTATCAACCAATATTAGCTCGTAGTCCCAAAATATAGACTTCACTAGCAAGCTATAAATATAAAAAAAAAAAAACTATATAAAATAATAATTCCAGTCCACCTAAAGTATTATAACAGATTTCCTTTACTTTAACTCAGTTAATTTCATTGAATACCCTTACTAAGAAAGACGTATAAAATTTTTGCTACTACTCTACGTATTCATTATACCTGATGTCATTGAACACAGGGAATAAGAAATGTATCATCTAAGTTTAGTATTTGTATAAATATTTTTGAAAACAACGCGACTAACTCGCCACAATAAAATGATCACTCTGTTCAACAATAACAAGGGTGAGGAACAACGATGCACTTGAGGCAGTGGTCAGATGCTCGGGGTTCTCTGGTTCCTCTATCAGTCTTGGAGGTGTCTCTTTGACGGGCGACCGCCAACAGGGCGACTATATGGCGAAGTCTATCCTGTCCGGCCAGTCGCCGTTCACTTTGAGGTCAGGGTCATCGATGAACAAGTCAAATGGTGATGAAGGAGCTCCTTGAACACATAAAAAAAAAATTACTCCACAAATAAATATAAATAAACAATTCTGCGTGGTCTCATTATTTAAAAGGGGATTCATAATCTGTTAAATTCATTAATCAATTCTGTCTATTTGTTAATTATGTCTACTTATTCATAATCTCTCTACTAGTTAAAATTCATAATCAATTATTATTATTGGTGTTTTCTACAATTAAAAAAAAAAAATTGCAAATAAGCCATTACCTATGAGAGGGTCCCCCCTGTGGCCAGACGCAGGAGGCGGCGACAGCGCGAGCGAGTCCAACCAATCAGTGTCCACCTCCATCAGGTCTGGATCCAGGTCGTCCAGGGACAGCGGTTCCGCAGCAGCTGAAGCCGGCAGTTCCCCATTCTTTATGAGAATCTCCAGGACGTCATCAACAATTTCAGACTTGACGTCCATCAAATCGTCATTCTACAGCAATAAAGTGATTGACAATGTATAATTAATCGATACTATAATTCTTCAAATAAGTAGACAAAAAAAAAAAAAAAATTTACTCTACTAACCTGCCTGCTTATTTCCATGGGTTTGGTATCAAACAATAGTTTGCTATCAACAATAAAATTATTGTCAGCTGATAGTGGAATGAGTTCATTGGAGTTATTAACAAATGTTCCAATGAAGGTAGGAAGTGAACCACACCTGAAAGAGCAAATTAATGTATAATAAATAACCAATATGCAATCTGTTTATAAATAAATTTGTATCAAAACAAATAGCTGTTTTAAATGTTTAATTTAGGTAAACTAAACATGAATCAAAACATAAAATGATAAAATAGGAAAAATTAAATGTTGAATAGCTCACCTTGGTGGAGACTTTGATGGTTCGTGTTTGATATTAACAACATTGTTATTGTTAATATTATTGTTGATAATGACTTGTTGCTGCTGCTGTTGGCTTATTTGTTGCTGTTGCTGTTGTTGTTGTTGCTGTTGCTGCTGCTGTTGTTGTTGTTGTTGTTGGTTAAGCTGCTGCTGCTGAAGGAAGGCAGCGAGACTAGCTTTAGCATTGGTGACAGGCTGTTGGACCTGTTGCTACAAAAAAATTTATTCCATTACTTTTAGATTGTGTATATATTTAAAATAACTCTAAGATAAAAAAATAATAATAAATAAGTGATGATTTTAGCATTGTTTCAATTTAAGAGTTAATATGACGGATAGAACAGAAGAACCGAGAAGGAAATAGACAGATGTACAACGATGGGATTGGCTAAAATATTGGTAGTTAAAATATATTAGGAAAGGTAATTTCCCAATACACTTGAGGGTTAAAGTTCTTGAGACATGTGTGACGCCAAGTCTCACCAACGGAGCACAAACCTGGACAGCCACAAAAAGAGATAAATAAACCGACTTCTACTCACTCAGAAGAAAATGGAGAGAAGTATAATAAATTGAGGGACAGAATAAAAATGAGAATATAAGACAAAGCACTAAAGTTAAAGACATTATAGAGATGATTTTAAAACTTAAAAAAAAAAAAAAGATTCTCTATAGTGGAACCTCTGGGGGAAAAGAAAAGGAAGACCTAGAGAGAGAGTAAAGTGGCACAGATGAACAGAGAAGGAACTCGAACTGGGCTGTTCATCAAAACATGGCAGGAATCAAGATGGACTGCAGCTGAGGCCACAATGGCCGAGAGTGTCAAGGCGTCATTTGCAGTTTTGCGTACAGTTGAGACAGACCCACAGAATGAATCTCCACCATCGACTCTGGTTAATAAGTTGAAGATACCGGAGGAATAAGTTATTATTATTTAATATAAACGTTAAGCTATTAAAGTTACCTGGAATGTATTGTTGTGAAGGTGTAGAGTGAGCTGCCTCTGGAGCTGGTCTATCTTGCGCTGCTGCTCCCTGATGATGTCCTCCGAGGAGGTGGCCTCCATCGCGGTGGGTGATGGCGATGTTGGCGTCTCGGGGCTTTCCGTTTCCATCAGAGCTGACGAGGAGCAAGTGGTGCTGCTCACGCCCTGTCCTGAAGAGGACACACTGCAGACTACAGAACAACAGAGGAAAGATTTAGTATACTTTCTTTTCATTACTAATCCTCACATTATTGAGATAATAGCTTACCTGAAGGAAGTGAGTCTTCGGCGTGCTGAGAGAGAGACAGCTGATGGCTCTCGCTGAACGGCTTCAACCTCTCGATCAGCTGTGGCTTGGCTCCGGAGACGGGGAGGTTCCTCCTCTTCAGCTCGGCCTTCAGGTCACTCACTGTCCGTGGCAGCAACAAATAAATCAATAAATCATGCTTTACAGTTTCTAACTCACATTTCAAGGAAATGAGAAAAAGTAATCTCAACTAAAGATTATTAGTATCCTTCTACTACTATAGCTGATGTATTTAATTTAATTATCAACCTCTCCAAGTGTATACAATAATACTTGCCAACATACCTTTCATATCTTCAAGGTTCCTGAGAGGGGGCGGGCTCTGCGGTAGGGGAGGAGGGGGTGGCGGAACAGAGCTCTGGCTGGCCTCGCTGGCGGCCGAGCTGCTACTCGAGGGGCTGGGCGTCGGGGGCTTCTGCGACGCCGGAAGCAGGATCTGAGGGTACTGCCAAAGCATTTTCTCATTATTAAATAGGAAAACAAAGCTAAGACAAACAAGTATTCTATGATAATGTTAACAAGACAAACAAGTATTCTACGATAATGTCAACAAAAACAAATACCTAAAATTTTGTAAATATTGCTATTAAATGTAATTATTAGATTATAGGAATAATGCAAACTGTAACTAACCTTATGCTGCCACTCGAGCTGCCATTGGAGGAACAGTTGTTGCTGCTGCAGGAGCAGCTCATAGGATGTCTCCACGGGAGACGAACTTTGGGGGGAATTCTTTTGAGCATTTGGTGGCCCCTGAAATAAAAAAATTAATTGTGAAATTAAGAAATAATGGTCAATAACTTTTAATACTAATATCACCTTTACAGTTCACAGGTGAATGTATTCAAAATAGAGATATTATAATACACAATTATTATCTTTGTCACAAGATTAAAGTCAACATAAAGAATTTTTAATACTGCAAAACTTCCATTAACCTACACCACTACAAAAATGTAAAAAGTATAAGATAAATTAGTATTGAGTACTATTTCTTGAACATAATAATTAATATTGACAAGACAAGACAAGAATATTAATGCATGAACCAATAGCTCACCTTATACTCATGGAATTTGATCGTCCTAGCCTTGGGCGCTGTTTTGACTTTGCTCTTCTTTCTCTGGCTCTGGGCTTTGAGGACAGAGATAGCCTGCTGCTGCTGCGGCCGCACTTGGTAGACAGTAGGACCAGGAATGGTGACCGGCGCAAGGAGGACCGTGACGATCGGACCGGCGCTGGCTCCCGCAGCAGAAGCACTGTCTGCTGAAGCGGTTGTGACCAGGCTGGTGGTGGTGCATGTCATGGGAGGAGGCGGAGACAGTGAGGAGCTGTCCTCATCGAGCATGTAGTGGTCAGGATGAGTTGGCTTCGTAGCGGTACCTTCGCACGTCGCCTTGAACTCTATCTGACCCTCTGAGGAAATTAAAACACACAATCAATCAGTATGTTTCATTTTAACTGTCACATAATAATATTAAAACTATAATATATTGTATACATAATAATATTAAAACTATAATATATTGTATACATAATAATATTAAAACTATAATATATTGTATACACAATAATATTAAAACTATAATATATTGTATACATAATAATATTAAAACTATAATATATTGTATACACAATAATATTAAAACTATAATATATTGTATACATAATAATATTAAAACTATAATATATTGTATACACAATAATATTAAAACTATAATATATTGTATATAGTGTAATCATATAAATTGATACTATTTGAATGTAAACATTGTGATATTATCCAAAGCACAGCAAGAAATGAATGATGAAAATACATAACTGATTTTTTTTTTTAAATAATTTTTCTAGTTTAACATTTTTTAACTAATACTATACTAAGTTCCCTAATATAAAAATCTACAACTTGACTAAACATCCACTTAACGTGGACAGAATACTACATTACTACCTACTTCCTAACGAAGAATGTTGATGCTAAAGTTACCTTTCACAGCTCTTTCTATGGGTTCCTCGGTGTGGAGGATATTCTTCTTGATGAGCTCCAGCGGACCCGGCCGGTGCGAGAGCTGGTCATTAAGGGCATCTGCAAGTTTGCATTTCTTCAGCTGTCGCTGTTTCTCAGCGAGCGATGGGTCTACGTGCCCGACATCTGCAATCCAGAGATTAATACTTAGAATTTATTTTAAAATTTCTTTCAAGCCTCGTTAAAGGAAGGAAGGAAACAGAACTATTCATGAGAGATGACTACGAACCTTCAAGGATGTGCTGTCGGACAAGTTCTTCCCTGTCAGGGCGCTGCTGGATCTTGGCACGAAGGAGGTCGCCCATCTTGGCACGCTCCAGCTTTTGCCGCTGCTCATGGAAGCCTGGCGGCGTCTTCAGAGCTACCAGGTATAAAAAATAGGATGATATAACATATTACAACAAAATGTATAAATTGTAAATAACGACACATTGTTTAGGACACTTACGTGGCATGATTCCTTGAGCAACTAACTGGTTAATTGGTCTTCTTAGCATTAACTTCACTTTTAAAGCTGCAATTTAAAAATAAATAAATAAATATCATTGAATTCAATGTAGAGATAAAATGAAAAGAGAATTAGGTTAAGATGTATAAACTATATTGTTGTTATTATCAAGGCAGAAAAGAATGATTTTTTATTAATTATTAATATCAAATAGGACAAACAACACTCTCATTCATTGTTAATGAATTAATCAATGGACAATACCAATGTTATGTAGTTTGAAGAAAAAATGATATACATTATCTTTTTTTCTAGAACTTCAATAACATCTATTATTATACTCCTTACATAGCTAGATATAGACAATAGTTCTGTTTAATAAAGTACCTCAGTGATCGCTCAATTTTAAAATGCATAAAGATGATATTGTTTACTATTGTGAAATATAATTGGATAAAACAAGACCAATATAGATTATAAATGGTTGTGTTACGGCTGGACGACGATATAATTTTCATAATAAACAAACGTTGGAAAGTTTTTAAAATAATATGTCAACTGATTTAGCAGCTTTATTTTCACTTATAGGACAAATTCTTCAGGGCAATAGGTAAGATCTTTATCTTAAACTTTGTGACAGTGTTTCACTAATTTCAAAAATTGCAATGCTTTTTGTAGTGAGATAAATTTTCCTTCAGTATTAGGACTAGACCTAGTTATTTCCTCATGGTTTTGAATTTGGAACAATCATCTGTAAAGACTGTCGGTGCGTCCCTGGCCTGAGGTATCGAGGCTCTATTATAAAACTTTGAAGAGGATCCCATTGTTAGCATGAAAAACCTGGATCGAAACATGAAATAAGTGACCTTATACCCAATTAAATAATTATGTTGAAATATATGTATGTATTATTTTTTTATTTTTTCTCTTTTTCATTATTTTTTTGACAATTTCTTTCATTCATTTATTAGCATTCTACACCCCTTTCTCTTCCTTCTCTCCTCTTATACATTTCTCTTATTCCTCCTAATATTCTTTCCTCTCTCTTCCTAGCCTACTTTATAAAATGCATACAAATAGATAAAGTACAGTGGGCATGCCTCCCCCCCAATGAACAAACTCTCTTCCTACCCGCTCCCATGCACGTGGTGGTGGATGATTCCCAGGGAGTCGAGAATTATATTCTCTGCCAACCTTCCACGCCCTTCATTTCGACACCAAGGCCCTCCATGAAGCTCCTTGTTGGGTTTGGTATCGGTCTGCGAGCTCCGATGGCTTTGTTTAATAAAGATGAAAGAAAAAAACTATAATATTAATTTTACATCCGCCATCTTTTTACTTATATTCAAATAACTCATTTAATAAAAATGCTGCTTGGTCAAGACTTTTTGTATTTGTTGAAACTAAGCTATTTCCTATACCAAGTTTATTAATTTATCATAAAATTTTCATCTACATAAATGCGCAAGACTGTTTATTAAAATAACAAGCATATACAAATAACATTTTTATCAATATCTATTTTAATCTAGTAGCTATGAGATTACTGAAGCAGATATTGTCACATAAAATACGGGGCTGGGATTGGGTCCAAAAAAAAAATCTGTTTAAGAGGGTCGTCATTGGAAAACACAATATTAGTGACCCTTAATCACTTGGTCTCATCCACTAACAAGATCCAGGATTTAATTATAAGGGGTGCTTCAGCCTAAAAGTTTTTTTTTTTTGTGTATGTATTACAATAATGAACGAAACTAACTACCTATATGAACTGGTGTTTAAGTGATTCTTTAAGTTCTTCTTTAAGGTACATTTCTTTCATAAAACATGGTTACATTTTAACATTTTTTGGGGGAGGAAGTTCAGCCTGGAAGCCGAAGTCTCCTCCTCTCCCCGTAGATCCGGCTGTGGCCTCATCAAATGGTGTCTTTAAAATTCATTCTCTCTCCTCACACTGCTCAAAACTTCGAACAGGTCTCCTCTTCTTGAGAAATTAAGAGCAATGATCCGTCCCGAAAGACTATATTGAGATCCTATTTTAAATTTTGTTTTTAGAACTGTACCATCATGATACAACAAATCGATGATTATCGATTTATTGCGAGCACAAGATCATTCTTAAAAATATGAATCGGATTATTAATTAAGCAGGCAGTGAGAGGGAAAGGGGGAAGGGACTGCAGCCTTTTATATTTAACAGCTCCACAGTGTTAAATATAAAAGGCTGCAGTAAATCCCGACGTCTAACTTCCTGGTTCAAGTTGGCAGTGCGCGGCGATCTAATTAGCCATTCCTTCCAAAATTATTTTTTACCCTCGCTAGCAATTGGCAGGTGGTGAGTCGTGATCGCAGGGTGGCACATTTAGCACACAGAGAGGATATCTGCATCGATTCCATCAGGCCAACTTCACTTAACTAGGCAGGGGCAGAACCGTAGATGTAAAAATCTGGTGCGCGCATCACAAGACTTTCAATTACCACCCTCTTAGCAGAAATAAGTATTTTCAGAGAAAGCGGTGTGAAAGTAAAAATTATAGACGGTTTATTTATTTACATTTCATTGTGGGTACTTTTATTTGTTTAAATACTCTTATGTAGACAAATTTTAATTTTATATCGCTGTATTCCATTCAATTAAATATTAAATAATACCAATCATACCATTTATGAAAACCGCATATGTGTAAGTACATAATATTGTCGGAGTCCGTATTATATTAAGCTCATGTTACGTATGTACTCTTCAGGCGAGCTCGGACGCGCTCGTATTCCTTAAGTTCTTCCATTACAACTATTATCCGTTACGATCTCTTATATCTCCTTTAGTTAATTATCAAATTCTCTTATATTTTATATTTAACTATTTTTTGTTATCAAAGATTAATGTGAAATGGTTAATTATTTCAAATAAAAAAAAATTGAAGGTACTTTAGAGGAAGGTAATAATTGAAAAGTAGTCATTTAAGCCCTGTTAGAGAACATCAATGAGAATACAATCTACATTATATTAAAGAATGACTAATAATAAACTGATATATTGACTTTAATCAAAATAGTTAGAGCCGTTTTTGAGAAAATAGTAAAAATGTGTTAAATCGATTATATAAAGTATCACTTCCGGTTTGGCGATTTTGACAAAAATGTTGCTGTAACATCTAAGGATTATGAAAACCTCAAATACGCAATTTCAGCTTCGCAGAGACCATTTTGCGGGACTTGGTTGTTTGGACTCAAGGAATCTCAAAACGTATATTCTTTGAAAACTCATATTAGAAAATTTTCTCGATCGCAATACTTACCCTTGCTATATATTACGTATATACGTAAGTGAAAGTTAAAACCAGTTCAGCCAGTTAAGAGGATCATCTAACACGTTGGTCGTGAAGTAGCAAGATGATCCTTAGTTGCATATGTAGAGAACCTTCTCCAATACGCCACTTCAACCAGGACGAACTAAACTTAGTCGTTAATTAAAGTCGCGAAATGAAGCAGGCCTTGCAAATCATTCCATCCTCGAAGATACTTGTTCAGACCGCCATTTTATTCAATCGAGCTCAAGAAGAACAACGTATTTGGTTTGGTTGGATATTATTCCATTACCATTACTTTTTGTTCTCTTCTGACTGCACAGGGTTCATTGACAAGGTATGTTTTATAATGATTTTGTGGCCACCTTATAGCATTAAATTAAATTAAACAATAATTATAATATTTTCCAATAAAGTATTATTTTGGTACTGAAAGATTTTTTTGCTCGTTTTGTTTAAGACAATTATCCATCAGATAAATTATTACTATATAAGTTCAGATAACTCAAGTTGTAAGAAACATCGAATTTCGACCATTTATAAGCATTATTATCATATAATCTAACAGAAATCCTGAGAAAATTATAATTACAGTGCCAAGGACTAAACAGATCTGTCAGGAATGCCCACCTCCCTCTCCAAGGTCGACGGCGAATGCCCACTCTCTGAAGAACTTTTATAGCTCTCCTCTTCTTAAAAACGGAGCTAAATTACAGTAGCAGAAAAATGATAGATAATATACAATTACAATTGCTGTGACAGTTTCATGTTTTTCTCCACCCCCTCAATAAAAAATAGTTTTCAATCCGAAAATTCATTATAGCATCGAGATGTACACTCTCCATTAGAACCTCTAACATTTTGATGGCGCGAATAGCGTTATGCAACCCTAGTTCTAAGCACCTCTGGGTTCCGTAAAACTCACATTTCCTTTCTTAAACCCCTTACATGGACAAGTATTGTTTTAACCACCAAGAAACCACTGCTTAATTGATTAAAATTAAAATTCTTTCTGCTTTAATATCAAGATCATCGGACGTCCACTAAGTCAAGAGATAGACAAAGCCCTGACGGGGCTCAGTCAAGATTGATTGTCTTGTCATGCGCAGCAGCAAGTTCATAATGGAGGAAGTTCATTTCCTTCATCAAATATCTAAAAAGATCCAGCCAGGGGAGTCCAATATAATTACAGCAGGAAAAAAATCCTATTAACCGAGCTCAGAATCTTAACCAACTGAATTTCAAGTAAAACATTAGCCCATGTTTCGCAACGTTTCATAAAATAGGGGTTCCAAGTGTGTTCACTGCCAAGATAAGTTAGAAACCCCAATTAAGTTTTTCTCAATTTGGGATCTGATAAAGAAAGGTTTCTGCGGCCTTTACCATCAAAAATCTCAGTTTAGTCCGCCACCGTCTAGAGAGCGTATTGAAGATTTCCTACCGACCCTTTATGGTTACCCAAAGCTGCTGGGAAGCTTCGTACACAACAAATAAAAATAAAGTAGTGACCGTGAACCCTCCGCCCGATGATCAACAGCCGTCCTCCCCTCCCCCCAATCTAAAATTAAATGGCGGAACGGCTGTGAACTTGACTGCCTAACTGTCCCCAGCATTAAATACTGGCTATTAGCGGGAGCAAAAAACAGAACGGATGTGACAGCTTGGCGACCTTGCGGGCACGCAGAGTTATTGCCGGGTGGAAACCGCGATCGGAGGCGGTTGGAAGGAAGCCATCGAAATGGCCGATGAAAAAAATTT